CGTTGGCAGTGGGGGTGTGGGGAGGAGTGCCCCGCCCTCTCCGCCTCCTCCCCGGCGGCCGGGGCAGACCGGCTCCGCCGCAGTGAGGGGGGCGGGGCAGGGGGCCCTAGGAGTAAAGAGGAATCGATGCAGCGTCAGTGGACACCCCCACGTCCCAGCGAGATCCGGGCAGGGAGGACAGAACTCCCGGCGTGGACCAGTGGGGACCCCAGTGTTCCAGTCAGAAGACCCTGCTAGTGTGTTCGGAATAAGAAAGGGGACCTGAAGCCGGAAGAGCCCAAGGAGACCTGATAGTAATAGGGACAAGGTGCCCTCCAGATGGAGCGACGGGAGACTTTGCAATCATTCGGAGGAGACCCCTGCATGAGAGGGGACCCAAGGTTTCCCTAATAGTTGAGGAGCCCTTCGGGACAGATTGTGGGGACCCGGCTGCCGGCTTTGAATAGGGGAGGGAGCCAGGCAGTCTCGAATGGGGGCACAGTGGAAGCTACAGAGGATAGAGATAGGGGACTTTTGAAGCGAGTACGTTTCCCTGATAGTTAGAGGGGCTACCAGGACAGAACGGAAATTCTGCAGCCAGCTGGGGAATCGGGGTCGGGGGCCTGGAGTTGGGGGAATGGAAGTTTGGGAATCACCGCAGAGGATGGAGAGAGGAATCTGGGATCCGGGGTGGGGGACATAGCGTTCTCTAAAAAGTCTGCAGCGTTCCCCAAGATAAGCAGGATACACTGTCAGGGTCCCTCGGTAGGCAGGAGAAATCTAGGGAGGGGCAGAGAACCAGAGTCGGGGTGCTGCAGGGAGGGGATTGGGCATGAAGGTGGGAGAGCTTGCTCTGTGTGGAGTGGGGGTAGGTGACAGATGTGCTAGAAGTCACCCAAGCTGCGCTCACGGGGGTCAGCCCTGCAGTTTGCCCCCCTGCAGTTTGCCTCCGGGTGACCTTGGACAAGTCGCCCACCTGGTTTTCCCATCTGTACGAGGAGGGAGTGGATCTTGCCTTAGGGAGAGGCTGCAGCTCTGTGCCCCTGCCTGTCCCAGGAGCTACCATTTTGGGGGGCTCTCGCTGAATCAGGGGATAAGAACCCTCAGATTGCCTGTGAGTACACCAGCCTCTCTCCCTCAACTTGGAAGTCTGTCTTCCCCTCTCCCTCTTCCCCATTTCCTCAGATTCAGCCCTCTCTTCTCCCAGCCAACCCCCACAGCAGACAAGCTGGCACCCCTGTAGCATCCCTTCTCAGTGTTGGGCAAGGGGTGGGTTGCTTTCTGGGTACCAAGGTCCCTCAACTCCATGAGCTCTAATGGGGATCAGGTAGGAAAAGGCACCCCAGGATCCGGGGATCCTGTAACTGGTCTTGTCTTGAGTGGCAGAAGCACTGCGGCTGACTCTTCAGCACCGCGGACAGGGCCTGATCCTTGTTGGGCAGTAAGAGGTTAACCTCCGGCTTCCCTTGATGGGAAGGGGCGGGAGATGCGCCAGTTCCGCCAGTCCTGCCTCGCCCACCCGGTGCTATGCAGATGGGAACTGAGTGATCCCCAGGGTCACATAGCTAGCCAAGGACCCACCCCTGGGCTTTTTGTTAGGAGTTCAGTTCCCTGCTCTCTCTGATGTTCTCCCCCACACTCTTGGACTGTCTCCTCTATTGGGAGCTGAAAGGACCCCAGGGGATCCTTGAGATTCCTTAGGAGTCAGTGTAGACTCCCCTCCTAGCTCAGAACCTCTTTGGTATAGTTATTTCAGCTCCCACTGCACCTCCAGTTTACCCTGATTTTCCTTCTGTGTGATCCCCAGGATGGGGACAGAGACTCCCCAAGAAAGACCTGCTCCTTTCTCTATGCCCTTAGCTTCACTCCCAGCCCCCTGGTTGTAAGCAGACGCTCAGAGCTAGGGAAGGGATGGTGCTGTCCCTTTAACCACGTTTTACTGGAAGGAGAGTGCGCTGGGGAGGAGGGAGGAGGGGGAAGGGAGTTTCTGGTTTCGCAAGGAGAAGCAGAACATGATGAAGCATTTTCCCCTGCATTTAAAGATCCAGTTGTGCTCCAGTTTGCAGGGGGCTGACGGCTGGTTTGCAGGCAGTGCTGGGAGAATGGAGGTAAGTGGCCGGTCTGAGGCAACTAAGCAGGGAGTTAGAGAGGCTTGGTAGGGCCCTGCTCTCTCACATGGCTCCCCAGGTATTTGTCATTCTGCTTGGAATTCTGCCATTAGAGCTTTGTTCCTTTGGGTCTTTTCAGTCTGCAGAATGCAGATACATTCTCCGGATGTGAGAAAGGTGACAAGCAGCTGACAGCAAGAAGGGAGGACCCACAGGAAAGGTCAGACGAGAAGGGAGGGGGCAGGATGGAGTCTGTTGAGGACGAGGGGCCCACAGCCATCAAGTTGCAGCTGCCTTTGGATTCCAGGGAGCCCCAAGCATGACTCCGGTGGCTGGAGAAATGGCACGAGGGCAGGAACCCTGAGGTCAGTCCCACACAGGGCCATTCAGGCTCACCTCCAGGAAGCCATCCCTGACTAGGGTCACCCCCACATGTAGTAATTCTCCCTCTGCGGTGCTGCCCTGGTCTCTAGTCCTAATCCCTGTCACTGCACTCCCCACTCTTGTGTAGTAACTGACTGAAAGGATGGGTAATCCCATTCATTTTCAGCCAAGCTTGTGGTCTAGAGGGGACTGAGAGTGATTCTGCGTTGAGTCCTTGGGGCTTGACTCACTTTGACCTTCCTGTGATTCTCTCTCCCTTCAGAAGTGAGTAGAACAGCATATGAATTCAGCCACCCACCAAATGCTTACTGAGCACCTGTTACGTGAAAAGCACACACTGAACATTGAGGATACAGAATTTCCGGAACGCGCCCAAATTGTCTGCCTGGGTCACGGAATCTCAAGTCCTTTCCAAATCCCAGCCCAGTATTTCCCAAGACACCCTGAGGAGGATGATAAGTTACTCCTTTTAAAAAGGAGAAGAAAAGAGGGAGTGTCATGGCCAAAAGAGTTAAACAGAGTTTGGGAGCAGCAGATGGCATGGTGGTTAAGTTGCTGGACTCCCACATGGTTGAACACGGTTCAAGTCTTAGACCTGGCGACTTGTAATTCATGCAAGGAGTGTGTATGTGCATGCCCAAAGTCCAAGAAGGAGAATAGAGAGGGAAGGGATTGCAGTGTGGTCTTTCTCCCTGGGGGTGATTTCTCACTTTCCCTCTCTCTATCTCTCTGGTGAATACACATACCCTATGGTAAAAACTTAAAAAAAAAAATTGTTTAAACAGTTCTTGGGACAGATTGTCCCTGAGCACCAAGACTTTCCCAGAGGCAGGTGCAGTGTGCCTTTTCCCAAAGGTATTTACCCTCAGACTCTTCTTGCCCCTGAGCGTCTCTAGAACTAGGGTCCCCTGGCCCACTCTGAGGGACCCACTCAGTCCTGAGCCTGAGCCTCTGCTGTCCCTGGGCTGTCAGAGCTCCTGTGTGTACAGCAGAGAGAACTCAGCTACCCCTCTCTCCTTGGTCCCTTCTCAAAGCTTGTTCACTAGCCAAGGATCATTGTCCCTGTTCTATAGACAAGAAAGCTGATGCAAGGCCAGGTAGTGGGTCTCCTGAGTTGACTCAGCCCAGTGTCTGAAATCCCAGTGTCTGAAATCACTCAGGCCTCAGCTGGTACCAGACCCACTGAGTGGAAATCCATTTCTCTTCCACATTAGAGACCCAAATGGTCCTAGTATGGAGGAATGAGACCTTCAGAGAGGGATAGGAAGCTCTTTAGGGCTGGAGTGTCTCCTGGCCTCTGACAAATCACCCAGCCGAGAACCGTCATGACCCAATGTCAGCACTTCCTTCATGTGAGGGCCCACTTCCTGGCCTGGACACCCTGTACCACTGTGTCACCTCTGTGGGGAGCAGCATGTGACCACTGTTTTGGGTGCATTTTCTAAACTCCTCATTCTCTTTTTCTGATTTATTTTTCTGAATAAAACTTGACCTTTTTTTTATTTTTTATTGTTTTTTTTGAGAGAGAGAGATTTTTGCTACAGGGCACATGCGCTCACCAGAAAGATGGAGAGACAGAAAGTGAAAAATCATCTCCCCAGGGAAATGGCCATGCCACAATCCCTTCTAAATTCTCCTCTCAGGATTTTGGGCATACATGCACACATGCTCGGCATGAGTTTTAAGCTGCTGAGTCCAGGACTCGAACCGTGGTCAACTACATGAGAGTCCAACAATGTAACCATTACACCATCTCCTGATCCCAAGACTTGAGCTTTTCTTTTCTTTCCTTTTTATCTTTTAAAGAATTATTTATTTATTTAATTTTATTTGCATTGCTATTTTTTTTTAACTTGACCAGAGAGAGAGAAAGGAAAAGTGAGAAAACAAGCCGCCAGATCCAGGACTCGCAGTTGGCCATGTGGTAGTCCAGCGCCCTCAACTGCCATGCCATCGCTGGCCCCGAGACTTGACTTCTTCTTCAAAGAATTATTTATTTAATTCTATTAGTTGTTATTATTTTTCAATTTGACCAGAGAGAGAAAGGGAAACTGAGAAAGCAAGCTGCCAGATCTGGTTCTCGAACCAGAGTCATCCAGTGCCTTTAACCACCATGCTACTGCTGGCCCCAAGACTCGATCTTTTATAACATGTCTTTCTTTGTCTCTTCCCACTTAAATGTAAGCTTCATAAGAGCAGAGAAATTTTTTTTCCCCCAGGAAGAACATTTGCTCTGTGGAGAGCAGAGAGAGATTAGAAGAAAGCACTCTTCATGGGGAATGGTCATACCACAATCCCTTCTCCTCCATTTCTCCCTCTTTGCATGATTTTGGGTATGCACACACACATGTCAGCATGTTTTTTAAGCCACTGGGTCCAAGACTCAAACTGTGTATTCTGTGGAATCTAACCACCTTAATCACCAGGCCACAGAGCCAGCCCACGGGCAAGGATTTTTTTTTTAATATGTTGGTTTTTGAAAAAAACGCTTATTTATTTATTTGTTGTAATTTTCAAGCCACCGTGTCTGGATCTTGAACCATGGTGGGCCATGTGAGAATCCAGCACCCTAACTACCACGCCACCTGCTGGCCCCCAGTGGCAGGAATTTTTTTGCCTGTTTTATTCACTGCTGATTTCCCCAGCTGGTGCAGCATTGGCTGTCGTACAATAGGTGCTTAACAAGTGGTTGTAGAATGACAGAGGCTCGGCCAGGGAGGCCTGTGATCGCCAGGCAATTCAGCACCAGGCGTCTGGACAGTTCCTGGCCTGCTCAAGCCTTGGAGGGAGGCCAAGGCAGGAGCACCAGGGCAAGTGGGCTTACTAGTGTGGTCCCGCACCACGCTTGGTCCCCTTTGCTGAGACTCAGGCCTTGCACATTCCATTGCTGGCAAACTCACCCCACTACTAGTATCCTTCCCTTTTTGAGTTCCCCAGTTCTTTTTGTGCCTCTGAAGCACTGAGCATTTCTTCCTTCTTGCCTCTGCCTCTTTCCCCTTTAGAGTTCCCTCTGCCCTTCATTCTCATCTCTCCTTCCCGCCCTCCTGTCTCCACTTCATTCCCTTTCCTCTCTCCTTCCCTCCTTCCTCTCCCCTATCCCACCTTCTATCGTTTCTCTGCCCTCCTTATCCTTTCCCTCCTCCCCTCTTCTTCTTTTTCCTTCTCCCTCTTTTGAGGTGCCCTATTTTTGCTGGGCTCGAATCTGATTTATAGGAAAGAGAAGGCAGCCTCCCTACCCCTACTCCCTTTAGGGAGCAAACAGCAAAAAACAACTACATGCAGTTTTGCATAAGCCTCCCCCTCCAGGTTTCCACCCACGCTCCTAACTACCAGGGGACTGCCACAGCTGATAAGAGCCTGCAGCAGGCTTGCTGGCCCACCCGTCTGCCGCCCTAGAACCATGTGGGTGGGAGGCTGAATCCTGCCCCAAAGGCCAGGCAGGAGCAAGTGGGTGGCTTCACAGGTCTGCCCTCTCCTGCCCCTGTGTCTGTGTGGGCAACTTTGGATGAATGAACTTTGGCTGTGGTTCTGGAGACTGGAAATGAGACAGTTCATTGGTCTTCCCTAGGGGACCCTTGGTGACTGAATGGGGCTTGCTGAATGACAAGTGCCTCAGGACTATCACTAATTACCTAGAGCAAGAGACTACATAGCAATAGGAACAAAAACACTCATCTTAGGAGGGAGAGGATGCGTCAGTCTTTCTGCCTGGCCTCTCATCCCTACTGTGAAGTAGGGACAGTTTCTAGTTCGGTTTCTAGTTCTCCTTCCTGTTTGGGAAATGAAGACTCATGGAGCACCTGCTGTGTGATAAGGCCACGCTGAATGCCTCAGCACTTATAGAACCTCTAAGTGCCCTAAATTGTGTACTCTCAAGTCCTTCCCAAATCCCAGCACAGCATTTCCTAAAGCACCTTCAGGATAATAAGGTGCTCCTTTAAAAAAGAGAAGGGTGGGTTACTGCTTCAGGTTATGCAGCCAGTAAGTGGTGGAGCTGGGTTTCAAACCCAAGTCTGAGGGCTCCTCTGCAAGTGTTCTCAACTGCCAGACAATGCCACAGGTCGCATTCACAGGAAGGCCAGTTGCACCCAGCACTGGTCAGGAACTCTGCCCCAGGGGTCCCTCCTGACACCCCTGAAGCAAAGGGAGTTGAGAACCGGCTCTGTTTTTTTTCCTCTGGTTCTTTCCTCTAGGGTGTCTGGGGTGAGGCAGAAGACAGATCTCCCAGGCAGGATAGTCAGAGAAGTGGAGATGGTGGCCGGCTCAGCCTCCTGAGAGCCCAGCGAGGAGACAGATAAGTGGAAAGCGGTCAGGCAGTAACTGATGCCTGATGTTCTCAGGGTAAATCTGAGTCATCAAGAAAATGATGTTGGCAGCCTTTGTGCGGGGAGCTCCTGCCTGCTGCATTCTGGCCTCTTTCATACAAGGTGTCTGCACCAGTTCTGCCAGGGATGCAGGGTCCTCATCCTCTCTGGAGCAGGGCATCAAGGTCAAAGAAACAAAGTGACCCGCCAAGGTCACGGGGCAAGGGGGAGGGGCTGTGACTCACACCAAGGTCTTGAGGGGCTCAGGACCCCTACACTTCCCAGTGTCCACACTGGCTCTCAAAAAGAAAAGGAAAAAGCCCTGTGATGTTTCATCTCTTTATTCTGGAGGATATGGAAGTCCATGCTACATTTTAGAAAGATTCTGAGGGCTAGCAGGTGAGAGGGTGGTTAAGGCACTGGACTCCCACATGGCTGACCGCAGTTCGAGTCCTGGACCTGGTGGCTTGCTTTCTCTCTCTCTCTTTCTCTCTCTCTTTCTCTCTCTCTGTCATCTCTCTGGTGAGCTCACATGCCCTATAGCAAATTTTCAAAAGTATAATAATAATAACTAATAAAATTAAATTTAAAAAGGAAAGATTCTGTGCAGGGTTTAAATTGGGACCTGAGGGAAGAGTTGACAGCTGAATAAAAGTTCATTCCTGATGCTAAGTGTCAGCAGATAATGAGGCATTACTGGCTTCAAAGAGGCCTCTGCAAGTAGGCACAGCCTCAGGCGTGGTGGACTTAAGCTTGCCTCCTTGGAGGCAGCCACACCTAGGCTGTCCTCTGCAGTCAGGTTGTGTGAGGACTGACAGGGCCCAGCAGCAGCCCAGCAGTGCCCGAGGGCAGCGGGTGCCAGCTTGGGAGTGCTGTCAGGACAGTTGCTAAAACCTCTGCCTCTGCCCTGAGCCTGGCGCTTGCTCTGGATAGAAGATAAGGCGCCCAAGGGACCTGGACTGGGGACTTGCAACACACACAGGGAAGGCTCTGCTGGGCGCCTCAACTGCTTTCTGGCATCTGGGAGGCTAGTGGTGCAGGAGGGAGGAGGCAGATCTGAGCTTAAGGTCTTGCCTTTCTGTTCTGGAGAGTCAGTAGCGATCATGTACCTTTTTTTTCCCCCCCTTCTTTTTATTGGTCAGAGGGTGAGCGTACTCACTGGAGTGAGACAGGTGAGAAAGCATCACCCTTGAGGGATGACCGTATTGTAGTCCCTTCCCATTTCTTCTCTTGGGATTCTGGGTACACACGTACACACACCTCACATGTTTCTCAAGCTGCCAGAACTGGGACTGGGATTGTGCCTTCAGCCATGTGGGATCCAGCTGCATTTTCCACCACGCAACAGCCGTGCTAGTCACCAATGCAAAGTCTCGGCCCTGCCCATATCTGCTGGGTCAGACCCTGCAGGAGGGGCCTGGAGTGAGCATTCTCAGCCAGCGTCCCGAGAGCAGTAGAACTGCCGCTGGACCTGGCCTCAACCCGGCTGCCAGGCTTGCTGATCCAGCCGCTGCTGTGAAGTCGCTCACACACGACCTTTCTTACCGGGGCTCCACCACAACTCCGAAGCTTCCGTGAGCACGTTGAGGCCCAAGGAGGTTAAATCTCTTGCTCAGCACTGAGCTAGGATTCAGAACTTCACAGCCTGGCTCTAGAATGCCACTCTGTTGCCCATAATGACTGGCCCTCTTGGGGACACCTTCCTCATCCCCCAAGTCCTCTCCATGGCAGTGCTGTGTGCACAGTCATCACCAAACTGCACGTCCTGGGACCTGGGCGATGACACGTGCTGCAGTCCCTGGGGCCTGTGCCTCCTCATCCCTCCTAGGTCACGAGCCCATGGGGGCAGGGAGGTCTTTGCACCTGGGGGTGAACAAATAGTGGGGACATGAACACGTGAGCCATAGACTGAAGGACACAGAATGTTCCCTGGTGGCAGCTCGTGGGGGAGAGTCAGGGCTGAACAGAGTGGACAGAGAGGGCTGGTGTGCCCTCCCCTGCCCAAGTCTCTTCTCCCTTCCAAACCCGCCTCCAGGAAGCCTGATTGTGTTACATTCTCACGTAGGCTGAGCTTCCTGTCAAACCCTTTCCTTCACCCCATTATTCACTGCCCCAATTCACTCCCCTTCTTGAAAGTTTTATTTGTTTTAAGAATTATTTAATTTTTTATTATAATTATTTTAATTTGCTATAGGGCACATGTGCTCACCAAAAAGAGAGAGAGAGAGAGAAAGTGAGGAAGCAAGCCACCAGGTTCGGGACTCTAACTGCAGTAGGCCATGGGGAGCCCAGCGCCTCAACCACCACACCACCTGCTGGCTCTGAAACTCCTCTATCCTTCAGATATCCCATGTTACCTCCTCTTCCAGAGACCTTTCACTAGTGCTGCGGTTTTTGTTTGTTTGTGTTTTGCTTTTTTGGTTTAATGCCAGAGGGTACGTGGAAAAGCACCCTGTGGTAGGGCTGGGTCACACTGAAATCTCTTCCTTCAGTTCTCAGTTTCATGAGGATTCTGGGTATGCATGTGTGCACCCAGCATATTTTCATCTTCTTTTTACAAATATTTAATTTTATTTTTTATTATTATTAATTTGCTATAGGGCATATGTGCTCACCAGAGACACACAGACAGACAGACAGACAGAGTGAGCTGGCAGGTCCAGGACTCAAACTGCAGTCAGCCACGTGGGAATCCAGCACTGTAACCACCACATCAACATGGTCCCTCCCAGCATGTTTTTCAAACCACCAGGACTGAGACTCAAACCCTGGTCGGCCGCATGGGATCCAGCTTCCTCTGCGCAGCCCTTAAGCACTGTGCCGCAGACTGCAGGGTTTTGAGAGCTTCCTTTGAGCTCACCAAGCGCCCTACCTTGCTCTCATTCTCCCCCTAGTACTGTATTCTACAGGGCTTATTCTCCCAGCTGGACTGTCAGCTTTACAGGGCAAGAGCAGGCTCTTTTATTCAATGTGGTATTCTTAGCACCTGATACCAGAGTTAGTAATGTTTGTTGAATGAAAAAATGTCAGCAGTGGGGGCCAGCAGGTGGCGTGGTGGTTAAGGCACTGGAGTTCCACATGGCGGACTGCATTTCAAGTCCTAGACCTGGCAACTTGCTTTCGCTTTCTCTCTCTCTCTCTCTCTCTCTCTCTGGTGAGTGCATGTGCCCTATAGCAAATTTAAACAATAATAATAAAGAAAATTGGGACCAGCAGGTGACTAAGGCACTGGACACTCCCACATGGCTGACCACTGTTTGAGTCCCTTTCTCACTTTGCCTCTTTCTCTCTCTCTGGTCAAATTTAAAAAATAAGTGAATAGATCAATAAAATTAAATAATTCTTTTTTTTAAAAAATTATTTTTATTGAATTTCATTTGTTGTTATTATTTTTCAATTTGACCAGACAGCCACAGAGAGAGAAAAGGAAAGTGAGAAAACAAGACACCAGGTCCAGGACTTGAACCACGGTCAGTCATGTGGGAATCCAGTGCCTTTAACCACCATGGCACCTGCTGGCTCCAATAATTAAGTTTTCTTTTTTGGAGAGGGTTTTACTATAGGGTGCGTGCACTTGCCAGAAAGACAGAGACAGAGAGATAGAAAGCGAGAAATCACCCGGGGGGTTGGGGGGGGAGTGGCCATGCCGCAATCCCTTCTCTTTCATTCTCCTCTCTGGATCTTGGGCATGCATGCACATGTGCCCGGCATGAATTTAAGCCACCGGTTCCAGGACTGGAACCGCAGTTGGCTACATGGGAGTCCAGCGACATAGCCATCATGCCAACTGCTGGCCCCCAATAAATAATTATTTAAAAAATAATAATAAAATTAAATAATTTTTTAAAACAGTGACTTCCCATAGACTCTATTCCATGTTCTACATTAGTTATAACCAGTCTTGGATGATATTTCACAAACCAGAGTAGAAAAAAAAAAAGAATAAAAGAGGCTCAGCGGGCCTTACAGGCCAGCAGATGAGGCGACTGAGGCCGAGGGTCAGCGGCAGGTCTGACTGGCAGGTGCAGCTCGCAGCTGCCTTGCTGGTCGCTGGGTCTGTGAGATGAGAGGATGGGATCAAAGACGTCAGAGGGACTTCGCTCATTGTCACAGTCATTGCCATTTACTGGGTGCTTGCAAGATACACAGGTCGGGGAGGACCCATAATCCCCCTTTACAAACGAGCGAACGAAGGCACAGAGAGAAAGTCACTTGCGTATTTATCAGTGTATCTTCTGGTTGGTTCCTTTCACGAACTTATCCGGGTCCCGTTGGAGTCACAAGATTTGTCGTCAAACCCACTTTCCAGAAGAGGAAACCGAGGCCAAAACTACAGAACCGGTTTCTCTGCCTCGTAATACTAGGCTGGCTCTCGGATGACCATGGTACCGGCAACCCCGCCCCCTGCAGGCTGCAGGTGCACCTTCCTCTTGCTCAGCTCCGCCCTTCGGCGCCGGAAACACCCGAATGCTCCCTCGGCCTCCGAAGATTGCCGAGCTGTCCTCCGAAGGCCTGGGCTGGGAGAAAAGGGGTATGCCGCCTGCTACCGGGACCTGACTTCCTGGGAGGTCTTGTTTGCCGCGTGTCTGGCCAGAGGCATCATCCGGGACTACAAAAAGGCGGAGGGCTTGGTTGCTGCTGCTTCTTTGCTTGTGAGTAACTCCCTGAGTTGGCGGGGAGGCACGGGAGAGAAAGGAGGGTGGTGGGAAGGGGCGTAGCCTCTGCCTCTGCGGGACCACTGCGCTTCCAGAGGGCTGCCAGCTTCTTACTGAACTGCCTCAAGCAGTAACACCCGTCTCTGTCTGTTGGCAGCAGCCTCCTCCCTACACCTCAGTTTTTGCACCTGTAAAATGGGGCCTCTCTCAATTCCTGACCCCAGACAGGCACCTGAGAAATCAGAACTGAGTTGGGCAAGGCGGTGTAGACGGCCCTGGGGGCCCTTTCCCTGCTGCGTTAGGCCTGTGGAGATTGGAGGTGCCTGCACCCCAGGGTGAAGACAGACATGAGGTGTGGCCATGGAAGTACCAGTAGCAGACGTAGCTTGGTTATTGAGTACCCTGTGCTTGACATTGCATGAAGTGGGCTCAGACCTCATCACAGCCCCGTCTCCTAGGTACTGTTGTTGCCATCCACAATTTACCCATGAAGTATTTGCTGCCCAGAGTCCAAGTGTTCAAGGTCACACTGCTAACAAGTGGTGGAAGCTGGGACCAACAGTTAGTGTAATGGCTATGTTGCTGGGCTCCCATGTAGTCGACCGCGGTTCGAGTCCCGGACCTGGTTGCTTAAACTCATGCCAGGCGTGTGTGCGGGCGTGCCCAAGATCCTGAAAGGAGAAGTGAGAAGGGATTGTGGCGTGGCCATCCCCCCTGGCGGGTGATTTCTCGCTTTCTGTCTCTCGCTGTCTTCCTGGTGAGCATACGCACGCTATAGCAAAAACCTCTCAAAAAAAAAAAAAGGAAAGAAAAAAATTTTTTAAATTAAAAAAAAAAAAGAACAAGTGGCGGAAGCAGTCGTGCCCAGGCTTTCCCACTGTACTGAGAACCATGTTACCTGGCAGGAAAATGGCAGAGGGGGGAAATGACAAGGCCTTAAGAGGTTTTTGATTGTTTAGCCTTCTGCCATGGAGGGAGAGACAGAGAGGGAAAGTGAGAAATCACTCCCTGGAAGGATGGCCACACCACAATTCCTTCTCCATTCTCCTGGGGTTTGGGGGCACATGTGTACATGCGCTCGATGTGAATTTCAAGCCACTGGGTCTCAGACTCGAGCTGTCGTCGGCCATGTGAGAGTCCAGCACCTTAACCACACCACCTGCTGTCTGGAGCCTAAGCGTTTTAATGATAACCTCAGTTGGGTAACCTCTACATGCTGGCTGCTGGCTTAAGGGCATCCCGTGAGTCCTTTATATTCCTGACAGCGACTCTAGCGTAGGTTTTGTTCTTTCCATTTCACAGATGAGACTCGGAGAGGTCACCTCGTAGACCTCAGGAGGGCACTGTTAGTGGGAAACAGCCATGTTTGGGTTCATCAGTGGCGCCCTCTGCCTGCCTGTGTGTCCCGTTAGGAAGACTGCTCCCCTCTGAGCCAATGGGAAGCTTAGTCTGGAAGGGCCTGGACATGCTCTCCCCAGCTGCTGTTTTTCGATTTACGGGAGTACTGACCAGGCGCGGAGACCCGCTTTTGAAGATTGGGTTTGCTCCTAATTATCTGTGACTCCAGTGCGCCTCGGATTAGTTTCAGGTATCCCCGGACCTCAGGTTCTCTATTAATGAAATATAGAGATTAGACGGTCCCAATTACCAGGATACCTGCCGGCTTGAGTATTTTAAAACTTTTATTTCTTTTAGGTTTTTGTCATAGGGCATGTGAATTTGCCAGAGAGAGAGAGAAAATGAGAAATCACCCCGCTGGGGGTGGGGAGAGAGAGAGAGAAAATGAGAAAACCTCCCTGGGAGGATGACCATGAAGCAATCCCTTCTCCTCTACTCTCCTCTTAGGATTTTGGGCACGCATGCACGCGTACACATGCGCCCAGTGTGAGTTTCAGGCCACTGGGTCTGAGACTCAGTTTGTGGTGGGCCGTGTGGGAGCCTAGCGTGGTGATGCCACCTGCTAGCCCTGCGCTTAAGTATTTTATGTCTGCAGGCGAAGTGACAGCCTGAGGTTCAGCAAGCCACATCTTCTGAGAATGTCTTTTTCTTCCTTCCTTTATTCTTTTTCCTTTGCCAGAGGGTGCATGTGCTTGTTAGAGAGAGAGGGAGAGTGAGAAGGCACCCTGGGGAGATGGTACTGCTGCAATCCCTTCTTCACGTCTCCCTCCCTTCTGGATTTTGGGCACACATGCACACGCACCTGGCGTGTCTCTCAAGCTGCCCAGTCTGGGACTCAAACCACACAGTCAGCCATGTGGGATCAAGTCCCCCGCCATGCCACCGGCTGGCCTTGAGAATTTCTGACGAGGGGAAAGCTGCCATCTTGCCCAGACTATCCCTGCCTAAGACTCCCACCGCCTGCCTGAGTGAAGGGGAGCACCTGCCTCTGAGCAATGGCACTGCTACTGCCACTGGGGAAGGCTCACTCCTCGATGGGGCGGAGCCCACGTGGGTGCCAGCACTCGCGCTTCCCGGCCAGTGGCCAGTGCCTGCGCGTCTGCCTCTGTAAAGTGGGGCAGTAATAGTACCGCTCCAGTGGGGACTTAAGAGGAAGTCATAGGCAAAGCGAACGCCATTTCTGACCTAGAAGCCCCTCAGAACTTCGCTGTTACCTGTGGTGTCTGCAGCACCGTTCTGGCACCGAGGGAGTGTCTGAGCCTTGGACCTTGCCTGCCTTTTGCCCCCTGAGACCAAGATGGTATTAGAGGAAGTGGAGAAAGGTGGGGTCTTGCTGCAACTGGAGGATCCAGATTCGGGGCGCAGGCAGCTCCGGCCCTGAAGCTGCTGGTGCTGGCAGCCAGGCCTGAGGGGCCGCTGACGGGCATTCTTGCACATCCTCGGCTGGCAGCAGCCCCTGGGGAGGGACAGCGGCCGTGTGAGGACAGAGGAGGCGGAGAAACGGTGTCGGAAATACTGCATTGTGTGCCCTGGGCTGCTGTGGGCTGTGGCCTCGTGGTTCGAGATGAGATACTGAGGCGCGTGCTTGCTTCGGGCTCCACACAGTCATGTCAGTCGTCCCAGGACAGGGCTGAGAGGCGTGCTGTCGTGTTTTCAACCTACAGTATGGGGACTGCACCCCTGGAGGCCTGTGGGCGAGCTGCAGGGGACCTGGAGTCCCAAGGCTGTGTGCAGGATCACGGGGGTGATTCTCAAGAGACAGAAGACCCCCAGTGTCAAGCATCTTTGATTAGGGATCATAACTGGTCCCAGACGCCATGTCCCCTCCTTTCCTCTTGTCATCTGTTTAACAAACATTTCCTAGGGCCTGTTTCAGGCGCAGCCCTGCACAAAGCATCCAGCCATGAAGAGGGCGGGCTCGCAGCTCCCCTGTCAGAGCCCCAAGTGCAGGGCCAATTTGTGTTTTAATTGGAGAATGTGCATGCTTACCCAGAGAAGGAGAGGGAGAAAGCACCCCCCAATGGGGCATGGCCACGCTGCACCCCTTCTCCATCTCTTCATCCTGTCGGGATTTGGTGCATGCACACACATGTACCTGGTATGTTTTTCACGTCGCCAGGCTGGGACTCCAACCATAGTCAGCCCTGTGGGATCTGACTCTCGTAACTACTAGGCAGTGGGGCCAGTCCCACGGCCAATTTTTTTTTTTTTAAGAGATTTTTGCCATAGGGCACGTGTTCTTGCCAGAGAAACAGAGACAGAGAGACAGAAAGTGAAAAATCATGCCCCGGGGGGTGGTCATGCCATAATCCCTTCTCCAGTCTCCTCTCAGGATTTTGGGCATGCACACACACGTGCCCAGTGTGATTTTTAAGCCACCAGGTTCAAGATTCAAACCGCGGCTGAATATGTGGGAGTCCAGTGACATAACCATTACGCCACCTGCTGTCCCCCCCCCGGGCCAATTTTATAAGAGCTTATTGGACTGAAGGACAAGCCCAGGGCTCCGGGAGCCTCACAGTGGGGCACCTGTGGTGGGGGGCGATGAGAGTCCGAGCTGGGTCCTGGCTCAGGGCATGTGGCCTCTTGTAGACCACTGGCCTCGCTGAGTCTGTTTCCCCTTCCCCCTAGCCCGATGACTGCTCTCCAGAACGTGGTGAAGGTGGAGGAGAGGAGGGTCTGTAGGTGCCCGGCCCTAGCAGATGGCGGCTGTGTGTTGGGTTCCTTGGAACCAGGACCTGACCCAGGCACCCACACTCAGCACAGTGCTCCCTCCCTTCCTTTGGAGCCAGAGGGGCTCCCGTTTGAAATGGGCGGTGGGGGCAAGCACTGGTGGGATTCGGGGATCTGGCACCCTTTCTCCTGCTCCGCCTGGCCTCACTGGGCAACCCCAGACACCTCCCAGAGGCCTCAGTCTCTTACCCACACAGAGGGAGCCGGGCTACCTGGTCTTCTATGGGCAGATGCGTATGGACAGTGGGAGTACCAGAAAGGTGAGTAGTCAAGGAGAGCTCCCTGGAGGAGGTGGCATAGCTAAGGTCTGAAAGATTGAGAACAGGAGTACTGAAAAAACTGGTGTGCTCCCTTGGCCTGGGGTTTTTCTGGTAGAACTTCTGGGCGTAATGGAGGAATTTGAGGATGGAACCCTGGGCTCCAGTAGGAGGACAGTAGAGGGGTCTGGGAGAACTGCCTCTTTGCTCCGAAGCTCACTGAGTGGTGGAGTTAAAGACACAGAGCAGGGCCCTTGGGGTCAGGCAGGCCTGGTTTTGAGTCCCTGTCATTGAGGGTCCTCGGTAAGAATTTCACTTGTTTAAACCTTGTTATTTCAAACATCTGGGAAATGGGCGAAATAATCACACTTGTGTCAAAAGGATGTTGGGTGTTCCGTGACTCCATTTATCTGAAATCCCCAGCACAGGTGAGTCTAGAGACAGAAAGTAGGTTAGCGGTTACCTGCTGCTGGGAGCCTGCGGGGATTGGAGGAGGACAGCTCCGAATATGGGGCTTCTTCTCAGGGTAACGACGTTCTGAAATTCACCATGGTGGCCGCGTAACTGCGAACTACTAAAAACCGTGGAATTGTGTACTTTTTAAAAAAAGAATTATTGGGGAACAGCAGGTGGCGTGGTGGTTAAGGCTCTGGATACTCCCACATGGCCGACCAGGGTTCGAGTCCTGAATCTGGTGGCTTGCTTTCTCACTTCCTCTCTCTCTCACTCTCAACCTCTGTCTCTCTCTGGTTAAATTAAAAAATGAATGACTACATGAAATAAGATAAATAATTTTTTAAAAAGAATTATTTATTTAACTTTATTTTTAAATTCGCTACAGGGCACATGTGCTCACCAGAGAGAGAAAGAAAGAGAGAGAGAGAAGGAAAATGAGAAAGCAAGCCACCAGGTTCGGGACTCAAACCGCAGTTGGCCATGTGGGAGTCCAGCACCTTTCACTGCCACACCACCTGCTGGCCTGGAATTGTGTACTTTAAAAAAAATTTATTTTCTTATTATTATTTAATTTGCTGTCACCAGAGAGAGACAGAGAGAAAGTGAGGAAGCAAGTCACCAGTTCTGGGCCTCAAATCATGGTCGGTCATGCAGGAGTCCAGCGCCTCAACCACCACGCCACCTGCTGGCCCCGGAATTGTGTACTTTTAATGGTGGAGTGGTATGGCAGAGGAATTATATCTCAATCAAGCTGTTATGAAAAACGAAAAGGTCGTTGGGAGGATCAGATGCGATGCCCCAGGCCTGGCACACCCGAAGTGCTCCCCGGATGTTAGCTGTTACTGCATATTTATTCCTGACAGTCAGTCCAGCCTCTCTCCCAGTGCTGACTCCAGGGGAGGGGCACAGCGCCTGGCCCATTGCTGGCTGGCTGGGGTCCCCAAGCAGGGCACATAACTCCCTGAACCTCAGCTTTTTCCTCTGTGAAATGGGGGTGTTTTTTGTGCGTTAGCCACCTCTTGGGACCCTGATGCTCAGATCAGACCGTGGGCTTTGCCAGGTGCAGACACAAATTCAGGCTTGGAGCAGGGTGTGTGTGGCAGGATTGTGGGGCTGTCTGTCCCCAGGGGGGCTGGCTTCACGTGTCCACTCAGGATAGAGCAGGGATGGGCACGGGTGCTGCTGCCTACCTGGAGCTCAGCGCTGGGACAGAGACACTGCCCCACCCCACCCTGGCTGTGGAAGTTGACGAGTCATTGTTCTGGGCCTCAGTTACCTCTCTATAAAATGGGGAATAGACAGTGTCCCCCTTTGTGGGGCTGTGCTGCCTGGGATAGCGACTTCACCAAATGCACAGAAATAGTTGTCACTATTGTGACATTAAATGACCATCATGTCACCCAGCTCAGCTGCCTTGTCACACAGTGAGTTATTTCAGGGCTATGATTCCCCCATCCCCAGGCTACCAGCCCCTCCTCTGCACCCCTGGGCCCGTCCTGGTGACCCCTCCCACCTCTACCCCCATAGACCCAGTCTGGCTCTTCCTCTGCGAGGCCTGGGCCCCCTTTCGCCATGGAAAGTACACCCCACTGGACCTGCAGGCCTGATCAGGCAGGGCCTGAAGCCTCCCACCTGCCTTCCTCCCGCCCACCTGCAGGATAAGGTCACCAGGCTGTGGACCACCTGGCCTCTCTGGGCGCTCTGCTCCCACTGTGACTGGAGCCTACTGAACCCGACTCAGCATCTCCACCACATCCCCCCTCTGCAGCGCTGCAGCCGGGCTGGGGCTGCAGCCAGGGCTGCCAGAGCCTCCGCAGCATCCCTGTGGCTGTGGTAGGCAGAGGGCACTGAGGGGGGTTTGCTTCCCCTGCCGGCGCCAGTCCCTGCTCTGCACCAGCAGCCGCAGTGCCTGATTTACGGCTCCCTCTGGGCTCTCTCCAGCAAAATCTCCCTGCAACGCACTCCTGGCCCATTCCTTTCTGGTCCCTATTTGCAGTCAGGATTACTCGAGCTGCAGCCTGCTCTCCGCCTTGTCCCTGGCTAGCCGCCACCTGCGACATCAGAGCAGGTGTTGTACTGAGAAGAAAGACAGGGTCCCATCCCAGCCCTGCTGTGGATGGGCCGGGTGATCTGGTGTGGCTTACGCAATCTCTCTGAGCCCGTTTCCCCATTTGTACAGTGTGAACGATCTGCAGGGTGTCATCACTGATACCCATACATTTGATTTCCCTTCACATGCCCTCCCCAGGTCTTCTGCCTTGGAACTGAGTCGCCTATGCGCCTGAACGGGGACCTCAGCCTCCAGGCCAGGCAAGCAGGAAGAACTAGGACAGGTGCATGTTGGGAGGAGCAGGCAGAATTCCAGCTTTGGAGTCCCATGGCCTTGGGCAGGACTGTCCTTCCCCTGGGCCTCAGTCTCCACATCTGTAAAATAGGGAAGTCAGGCCTGAGTTGCTGGAGGCAGGTCCGTGCTGGACAGAGCTCTAGCAGCTGGCAGAGCGGCGAGCGTTACCGCTGTACCGCCATCGGAGCCCACACTAACAAGATCTGACTTGGAAACAGCGGTGACAGCTGGACACGTTTTGAATATAATTGATGCCACTGAGCTGTACTCCTCAAAATGGTAAAAATCTGGGTCCACATCGAGAGTCCCTGGGTTCATGTCCTGGGCCTCTCTGAGCATGCTGGGCATGTGTGCATGTCTGATCAGAGCCGACTGGAATGGGGTGGATCACAGTGTGGGAACCCTGTTGGAAAGCCTGTCTTTCGATCTCTGTCTCTGTGTCTTTCTTATTCTCTCTTTTTCTCTTTTTAAGTGTTTGTCATGGGGCATGTGTGCTTGCTGGGGAGAGAGACAGAGAGAGGGAAAGTGAGAAATCACCCACCAAATGGGATGGCTATACCAGGATCTGTTCTTCTAAGATTTTGAGCGCACATGCACACGTGCCCAGCATGATTTTCAAGTCACTGGGTCTGGAACTCAAAGTGTGC